ACTAAGTATTGCTAGCTAAACTTACATCATTTGGAATGTGCAGCTCCTGTGATGTAGTCTGTGTGTCTGTGTGTCTGTGTGTCTGTGTGTCTGTGTGTCTGTGTGTCTGTGTGTGTGTCTGTGTGGCAGTGTTTCTTACATCATTAGGAATGAGTAGCTCCTGTGAAGTGGTCTGGGAATTGGACTCCATTCCTGCTGGGATATAAGAGAGGTAACTAAACCCTAGGGAAATCACACAGGTAATTAAAACATGGCAAATCCCATGGTCAATTATCACATGGCAAATCCCATGGTCAATTATAACATGGCAAAATCACACTGTAAAACATACTGCATTTTCCAGTAAAAAAACCAATTATATAATGGAAATAACACATTACAACATGTCACAAACACTTCTATATGCTCTATATGCTGGTGATCAATCTCCTGGTGGATACCTTCACCTCTCTGAAACATGTTCAGTGTGGAAGTGTGAAGAACTGGTTTTGAACCTAGGTCTCCCGAGTGGCGCGGTGTTCTAAGGCACTGCATCGCATTGCTAGCTGTGCCACTAGAGATCCTGGTTCAAATCCAGGCTCTGTCGTAGCCGGCCGTGACCGGGAGACCCATGGGGCGGCGAACAATTGGCCCAGGGTAGGGGAGGGAATGGCCGGCAGGGATGTAGCTCAGTTGGTAGAGCATGGTGTTTGCAATGCCAGGGTTGTGGGTTCGATTCTCACGGGGGTCCAGAATGGAAAAAATATAATAATGTATGCACTAAATGTAAGTCGCTCTGGATAAGCGCGTCTGCTAAATGACTAAAATGTAAAAATATAATCTGCATGCCTCAAGACTTCCTAGGCATTGCTTGGGGAGTTAACGCAAGTCTTTACAGATGCTGTATCTTAATCTGACCCAGTTTTTCACAGCAGGAAAATTATCCTGCAGCAACAGGAAATGTGAATTTTATGTGGATTATAATTAATGCATTATTTTTGTAGGGATAGATAAATTCTTAGGGCAAATCAAATGGAAATTACAAACTTTAGAAGCCTTTTTAAACCATGAAAACAATACAAGTTAGCATTTCCCGCTATACAGGAAAATTCCTGCAACAGGATGATCAAATTAAGCTACGGCATCTGTTCGCAAGTCTTTATGCTACTATTTCTGCTCTGTTTCTACTCCTCTGTTTCTAGTCTTCCTCTCCTGTTCACCTCAGGGATGGGATATGTAGCTTGGCTTTCTAAACAGACTGGGCTTTTTAATAGCTGTAGCACTGCCTGACTGATAAATTTTGTTACCGGCAACAAATAGAACCTCCATACATCCCCATAGCTGAGAGGAAGAGAAGAGCGATAAAAGGAAGCCGAATGAAGAATGAAATCAGGGTCTCGTTTCGCTCCCCTTCTTCCCCTCGGTTGAGCAGGCCTCCTTTCGAACTGACCCTACGTCCTACAAGAACGCCTCCCGCGTGCGGGCGGGCGCCAGCCGACGCCCGGAGGAAGGACCCATCCCCGGCGCTCGAGCAGCGCCGACCTTCGAGATAAAAGGGGTAACAGCCAGGAAGCCAGCAGCTCGAAGAAGAGACTATGACAGACGAGCATTGCGAGAAGGAGCATAGCGAAAGCATCACACGTATCCTAGCGTAAGTCAGCGCTCCTCTCACTTCCCCATCTCCTCTCCTATCATCTCCTCTCCCTCCTCCTCCTCCTCTTCCTCTCTCTCATTCGCTTCTTTCTCTCCTGCTTAAGCTACAGACAGTGGAAGCTATTATTGTGTTGCTATTATGCATTTTGAAGCGTATAAAGAAACACTTTTATTCATTTTGAAGCCTGTAAAGAAACACCATTATGCATTTCAAGCGTGTAAATAAACAACAAAAACATAATTCAAGCACTCTCTCTACATTGAAGTACTGTATATGTTTAGCTGACACAACACGCTTCTCGTTTATTTCAATAGAGCTCTGTTGTGCTTCTACAGTGCGGACTGACTGATTCTGTCATCGTCAATACATCTTTACTATGATGAGGCATGTCTGCCTGGAAATCATCTGAAGAAGAGCAGGGAAGGAGGAAACACTGCTTCCTCATCTATTGACAAAAGAAAGTTCCTCTTTGGCTCCTTTTGAAATATGTAAAGGACTGTTAAAGCCTATCTGTGTCTCAAATGGCACCCTATTCCCTATGTATGCCACCCTATGCACCCTAATCCCTATGTATTGCACCCTATTCCCTATGTATTGCACCCTATTCCTAGTATTGCACCCTATTCCCTATTATTGCACCCTAAATTTCCCCATGTATGGCACCCTATTTCCTATGTATGCACCCTATTCCCTAGTATTGCAAACCCCATTCCCCATGTATGGCACCCATTCCCTAGTATTTCCCCTATTCCCAATGTATGCACCCTATTCCTATGTATTGCACCCATTTCCCATGTATTGCAACCTATTCCCTATAATTGCACCTATTCCCTATGGTATTGCACCCTATTCCCTTGTATTTGCAAACCCATTCCTATGTTATTGCACCATTCCCTATGTATTGCACCCTTCCCTATTTTTTTTTGCACCCTATTCCCTATGTAAGCCCCTATTCCCTATGTTATTGCAACCCTATTCCTATGTATTGCACCCTATTCCCTATGTATGGCACCCTATTCCCTAGTATTGCACCATTCCCTATGTTTTTGCACCATTTCCCTATGTTTTTGAAAAACCCATTCCCTATGTATTGCACCCTATTCCCATATATTGCACCCTATTCCTATGTTATGACCAACCCTATGTTTTTTGGAACCCCTATTCCTATGATTGCACCCTATTCCCTATATTTGACCCACCTTTCCCTATGTATTGCACCCTATTCCCTATGCATTGCACCCTATTCCCTATGTATTGCACCCTATTCCCTATGTATTGCACCCTATTCCCTATATTTCACCATATTCCCTATGTATTGCACCCTTTCCCTATGCTTGCACCCTATCCCTATGTATTGCAAACCCCATTCCCTATGTAAATTTCAAACCCTATTCCCTATGTATTGCACCCTATTCCCTATGTATTGCACCCCATTCCCTAGGTATGGCACCTATTTCCCTTTGTATTGCACCCTATTCCTATTATGCCCCCCTATTCCCTATGTATGCACCTATTCCCTATGATTGCACCTATTTTCCCCATGTATTGCATCCTATTCCCTATTATTGCACCCTATTCCCTATATTGCACCCGATTCCCATGTATGACCCTATTTCCCCCAGATTGAACCTATTCCCTATGTATTGCACCCTATTCCCTATTTATTGCACCCTATTCCCTATTTGCACCCTATTCCCTATGTTGCACCCTATTCCCTATAATTGCACCCTATTCCTATGTAGTTGCACCCTATTCCCAGGGATTGCACCCTATTCCCTTGTATTGCACCCTATTCCCTTGTTATGGCCCCCTATTCTATTCTTACTTTGACCGAAACCTACACTAAGGGAAACGGTACATTTGGGATGCAGGTGAAAATCCTTGGGAGAAGAGAGGAGAGCTCTCCTGGCCCTTTTCCCCCATCTGTGTCTGTCCCTGCCTGGACCAGTTCTAATCCACTACCAATGGGGCCTGGACGACAGTCTGGAGCTAACATACATCGAGGGAAATGGAAGCCATGACCTTCTTTCTCTGATTCAGATGGGGTTTCTAGACTCTGAGGGTTCTTTAAAGGGCTGGATTCAGATGGGCTTCTAGACTCGAGGGTTCTTTAAAGGGGCTGGGTTCAGATGGGCTTTCTAACTCTGAGGGTTCTTTAAAGGGACTGGATTCAGATGGGCTTTCTAGACTCTGAGGGTTCTTTAAAAGGACTGGATTCAGATGGGCTTTCTAGACTCTGAGGGTTCTTTAAAGGGACTAGATTCAGATGGGCTTTCCAGACTCTGAGGGTTCTTTAAAGGGACTGGATTCAGATGGGCTTTCTAGACTCTGAGGGTTCTTTAAAGGGACTGGATTAATGATAAATACAGGTGAAAACGTATCTATCTGATGGAAGAAATCATTAAATACCTCTCTTCCTGTCTCCCCCTCTACCTCTCTCCCTGTCTCCCCTCTACTCACCCTCTGCCGTCTCCACCTCTACCTCTCTCCTGTTCCCATGCTACCCGCTCCTGTCCCTCCCCTCTACCTACTCAAGGATGCCAAACTCGACTGAGTCCTCTACTACTCTCCCGGGCTCCCGCCGGCAACCAGCTCCTTCGTCCTGTCTCCCCCTCTACCTCTCTTCTGTCTCCCCTCTACCTCTTCCTGCCCCCTCTACCTCTTCCTGTCTCCCCTCTAACTCGTCTTCGCTGAGCAAGTTAACCTCATTTGTCTACCACTCGACCTCTCTATCCTGTGTCTCCCCTCGTACCTTGTGTTGTGTCCTCCCCTCTATATCCGCTTCTTCCTCCCCCACCTACTCTCTCTCCTACCTCTCTACCTGTTCCCTCCCTCCTATTACTCACTCCCCCCTCCCCACCCCTCCTCCCTCCCTCCCTCTCCCTCCCCCTTCCTCCTCCCTCCCTGTCCCTGTCACTCCTCACCCCTCCTGTCCCCCTCCCTCCCTCCCTGTCTCCGTCTCCCTCCACCCTGTCTGCCCTTCTCCCTCCCTGTCTCCCTCCCTCCCCCTCCCTGTCTGCCCCTCTTTCTACCTCCCTGTCTCACCCTCTCCCCATCAGCACCTCTCCCCACTCAGGCCCCAGCAGCTCTCCTTCAGGAAGTAGTCCCCTGAATAGCCACCACCCCCAGGGGTGTACGAGGTACAGTACGTACCAGGCATGACAGAGTTGGCCTGCTGTTGGCTCATCTGGGCGGCCAGGCCTTGCTGCTGCATAGACAACTGGTGAAGCTTGGCCAACTGAAACACAGGGGGTAGACAGACAGACAGACAGACAGGCGGGGCAGGGAGAGAGGCAGACAGATGAGAGGATAAGTGGAGAGAGAGAGAGAAAGACAGACAGGTGGAAAAGCATATAGATTGACAGAGATAGACAGACAGACGGACGGACGGACGACAGACAGGCAGGCAGGCAGGCAGGCAGGCAGGCAGGCAGGCAGGCAGGCAGGCAGGCAGGAGGCAGGCAGACAGACAGACAGACAGACAGACAGACAGACAGACAGACAGACAGACAGACAGACAGACAGACAGACAGACAGACAGACAGACAGACAGACAGACAGACAGACAGACAGACAGACAGACAGACAGACAGACAGACAGACAGACAGATAGATAGATAGATAGATAGATAGATAGATTTGGGTGAAAACAGAAAAAAGAACACACAGCAAAGTCATGATCAGAACTAACCTTGACTTACTCATTTCAGCATAGGTCACAGCGTGATTAGCGTACATACCTCTGAATGTGGAATGCCATATTGGTTCTGTACAGCGTACGTCTGCAAGGAAGAAAAAAAATTAAAACAATTAAGTGAAAAGTTGATAACAGTCTCTCTATCAAGGCTGTTTCTTGAAAGTGTTATTTTACCAGGTAATGCCATTGAGTTTAAACTAACTGTTTTCAAAGTGTTATTTTACCAGGTAATGCCATTGAGTTTAAACTGACTGTTTTTACAGTGTTATTTTACCATGTAATGCCATTGAGTTTAAGCTGACTCTTTTTAAAGTGTTATTTCACCAGGTCATGCCATTGAGTTTAAACTGACTGTTTTTCAAGGGAGACTCTCTGAATGAAGTTTAGAAATAACACTGCAATTCTACTCTCAGCATCAAAGACAACGAGTGGTTGGTTCAATTGGTAGTGAGACATTCTGCTGAGGGAGAGAGAAACTGTGTGTCTGTGTGTGTGTGTGTGTGTGAGTGAGTGCGTGTGTGTATGTGTGTGTGTGTGGTGTGTGTGTGTGTGTGTGTGTGTGTGTGTGTGTGTGTGCGTGTATGTGTGTGTATGTGTGTGTGTGTTTGTGTGTGTGTGTGAGTGAGTGTATGTGTGTGTGTGTGTGTGCGTGTATGCGTGTGTATGTGTGTGTGTTGTGTGTGTGTATGTATGTGTGTGTGTGTGTGTGTGTGTGTGTATGTGTGTGTATGTGTGTGTGTGTGTATGTGTGTGTGTGTGTGTGCGCGCGCGCCCGCCTGCGTGTGTGTTTGTGGGCATGCATGTTGTTCCCACTGGCAACCTTATATAAGACTGTTTAGGATTTTAGCCCCGTGCGCAGCAGAAACAAGAGTCGATCGTCTGACACTCTAAATTTTCCCTTGGAAGGGAAAATGAGTTGAGAAGTGGGGTTTTTCTTTTAGCAGAAAGGAACATGGGTTGATGAAGTGGTTTTTGGTTTTTTTAACTAGTAAGGAACATGGAGGTTTTGAAGTGGTTTGCTGTTTTTAAACTGTAAAGGAAATGGAGTTGATGAAAAAAAGGGGTTTTTGGGTTTTTAAATGTAAAGGAAATGGGGTTGATGAGTGGTTTGGTTTTTAAATTAAAAGGAACATGGAGTTTTGGTGAAAGTGGTTTGCTGTTTAAGCTATAAAGGAACAGGGTTTTTGAAGGGTTTGCTTTTAAGATAAAGGAAAAATGGAAATTGTGAAGTTGGGTTTTCGGGGTTTTTGCTTAAAAGGAACATGGGTGATGAAGTGGTTTGCTGTTTAAGCTAGTAAAGGAACATGGAGTTGATGAAGTGGGTTTTTGTTTAACTAATAGGAAAGGTTTTTAGAAGTTGGGCTGTTAGTTTTTAACGCAGGAGGTTTTTTAAAGGTGGGGGGGGGACTTGGGGAATTGGAGGAGTGTGGTTTGGGTGTGTGGTGGGTGTGTTAAAGGGGTTACCTGGTGGGTTATAAAGGCTTATTAAAGTGTTGCTTTTACTTTAAGGCTTTTTTTTTTTGCCGTTTTTGTGGGAATGGGGGGGAGGGGGTTTTGGGGGAAAAGGGGGAATGGTGGGGAAAGGGGGGCTGGTTTGTTTCCCCCCCCCTCCCGGGGGGGGCCCCCCGGGGGGGGGGGGAGGGCGGGGGGGGGGGGGGGGAGGGGTTTTTTGGGGTTTAAATTTTTTTGGGGGGGGCCCTAAAAAAACCCCCCCTTTTTTTTGGGGGTTATTAAATTTTAATAATTTTAAGGGAAATGGGATGGGTTTTGGGGGTTTTTTGGTTTTTGGTTTAAATTGGAAAGAAAAAGGGGAAGAGATATAAGTAAAAAAAAGAAAAAAAAATTAAAATAAATATAAATAAAAAATACAAGGGCCCGGTTTTTTTAAAAATTAAAGGGAAAAAAAATTTATGAAGGGGGAAAAGGTTTTTGTTAAAATTTTTTTTGGGTTTTTTGTTTTAAAAATTAAAAATTTTAGGGGGTTATTTTTTGGGGCGTTTTCTTGTAAAAAAATTATAAATTAATTTCTATATTTTTTTAAAAAAGGGGAGGGGGAGGAAGTGGAGAGAGAGAAATTTTTAAAAGAGGAGAGAGAGGAGAAGGCCGAGGAAGAGAGAGAAAAAGGAAAAAGGATCGCCCGAGGAAAAAAAAGGAGAGAGAGAGTGGGGATTAAAAAGAGAGTAAAAACTGTAAAAAATTTAGAGTTTAAAAGGGGGAAAAACCCGAAAAAAAAAAATTTTGGAGATATGCGGGGGAAAAAGAGATGAAAATTTGGGTTTAAAAAAGGGGAGAGGAAAAAAAAAGCCCTGATTTTAAAAAAAGGGTTTTTTTTGTTTTTAAAAACTGGTTTTTTTCTTATCCTTCCCTTGTTTTATCCCCCCTTTATTTCATAAGCTCCCTCTATTTTTCTTAGTTTGCTCCCTAATTTTCTCTTTTTTCCCCCCTTTTTTTTCTCTTTTCTCTCCCATAAATTTAATTAAATTTCTTTTATTTATAAAATTGATGAGTTTTCTTTTTTGTTTTTATTGTTTAAAAAAAAAAGCTAAAATAAAAAAAAGGAAAAAAAATTATAAAAAAAATATTTCATTAACAAGAATTTTTTAAAGAAAAAATATAAAAAAATTTAAATTTTATTTTTTATTTTTTTTTAAAAAAGGCTTGGTTTTTTTTATTTTTTTTATCTTTTTTAAAAAATTTTTTTCTTTTTTTTATATTTTTCTTTCCTTTTCTCTTTCTCTTTTTATCTAATGTTTTTTTTTTTCTATTTTTAAAATATATTTTTATTTATCTTTTTCTCTCCTTTATCTATCTCCCCTCTTTTTCTCTTCTTATCTATTTTTTTCCCATATCTTTCTTGCTCTCTACCCTTTTTTTTCTATTTTTCTTTTTCTATTTTTTTTTTTTTATTTTTAAATATTTTTTTTTTTTATTTCTCTTTTTTTTTTCTTTTTTTTTTTTTTTTTGTTTTTTTTTTTCCTTTTTTTTTTTTTTTTTTTTTCTTTATTTCTCCCTTTTTTTTTTTCCCCCTTTTTTTTTTTTTCTGTTGTTGCTTTTGATGTCTAAAAATTATAAAAAGGTTAAACGTTTTCGAACCAAAAGTGGTTTTAAAAAAAATTTCCCCGAAACCCCTTTTCCCCTAATCTTTACCTTCCCTCCTCTTCCCCAAGTCGCCCCTCCTCTGCCACCTTTCCCTCTCTGTTTTCTTCTCTCCCCTCCTCTCTCTCTTTTTTCTCACCCCCCCTCCCCTCTTCCCATGGGGTTTTCCCTTTTTCCTTCTCCCACCCTTTTCTTTTTCTTTCCCATCTCCCCTTCCCCCATCTTTCCCTATCCTCTTTCCCATCTCTTCTCCCTACTCTTCTTTAATGCCCTTCCCCGTTTATCCCCCATTGTAAGGCCAAAAAGCGCCAAAAGACAAAAATGGGCTTTGGGAAAACAAAAAGGGAAGGGGCCTGTTAATGTGGGGTGTTGGTTTTCTGTGTCTGTTCCCCCTCCCTTTGTTCACCGATGTCTGCCGTTTGGATGGGGGGGGGTGGAGCCCGAAAACCAAAAAACCATCACTTTCCCTGGCTTCCCTTTTTTCTTTCTCTTCCTTCCCCGATCTGTATTCCCATCCGGTCCCAAATGATGAATGACTGGTACCAGGTAAGGGTTTTTAAAGGATTTTAGGGACACAAAAGTGTAACACACTGTGGTAGTGGTGCTATATTAAAAAAGATCACGCCGTCCACAGTGCCTACTTTTGTTTTAGACCAGCCCCCCCCTGGGCCAAATTGGGAAAAGGGGGGTGACCCCACTAGACGCCTCGAACACCTTCAGACAGGAAAGGAAAAACAGGGGTCAGGACACACCCCCCAGAAAAACAAATGTATAAAAAAAGCGGCAAGGCAAGGCACTTTCAGAAGTGTCATATCACCCCACAATAATTTAAAAGGGGTTTTGATCACCACCACCACCACAGCAGGGGTTTGATCACCCCCACCACGCGGGTTTTAACCCCCCACAGAGGGGTTTGATCCCACCCCCACGCGGGTTTGATCCCCCCCACCACCAAAAGAGGGTTGTCACCCCACCACACCCGGGTTTTCCCCCCCCGGGTTGATCACCACCCCACAGCAGGTTTTTATCCCCCCCCCCACCACCACCACCCCAGCAGGGTTGAACACCACCCCCCCCCACCCCAGCGGGTTTTCCAACCACCACCAAGCCCCGGGGGTTTTGGGTCACCAACCACCAAGCAGGGTTAGCACCACCCCCCAAACCCCAGAGGGTTGATCACCCCCACCAAGAGGGTTTGTCCCACCACCACCACAGCAGGGTTAGATCACCACCACCACCACAGCAGGGTTAGATCACCACCACCACCACAGCAGGGTTAGATCACCACCACCACCACAGCAGGGTTAGATCACCACCACCACCACAGCAGGGTTAGATCACCACCACCACCACAGCAGGGTTAGATCACCACCACCACCCACAGCAGGGTTAGATCACCACCACCACCACAGCAGGGTTAGATCACCACCACCACAGCAGGGTTAGATCACCACCACCACCACAGCAGGGTTAGATCACCACCACCACCACAGCAGGGTTAGATCACCACCACCACAGCAGGGTTAGATCACCACCACCACCACAGCAGGGTTAGATCACCACCACCACAGCAGGGTTAGATCACCACACCACAGCAGGGTAGATCACACAGCAGGGTTAGATCACCACCACCACCACAGCAGGGTTCGATCACCACCACCACCACAGCAGGGTTAGATCACCACCACCACAGCAGGGTTAGATAACCACCACCACAGCAGGGTTAGATCACCACCACCACAGCAGGGTTAGATCACCACCACCACCCAGCAGGGTTAGATCACCACCACCACAGCAGGGTTAGATCACCACCACCACCACAGCAGGGTTAGATCACCACCACCACAGCAGCCATCTTGAAAGTACCCATAGAAGAAATACAGAAAGTAATAGGTTATATTTCTGTGATCTTGTCCACTGGGCACCAAACTGGTTGAATCAACATTGTTTCCACCTAATTTCAACAAACACAATCCTGTTTTTCCTTCTGATGACGTGGAAAACTGATTAGATTCACAAAAAGTCATCAACTTAAAGGAATTTAGAGAATTGTTGTCTTTTTTCACAAAACTTTTAACCACAATCCAATGACATGTTCACATTTTTGTTGATTTCACTTTGGTTTTGCGTTAGTAGCTCAGCTGGTAGAGCACGGCGCTTGTAACGCCAAGGTAGTGGGTTCGATCCCCGGGACCACCCATACACAAAAAAAAAATGTATGCACGCATGACTGTAAGTCGCTTTGGATAAAAGCGTCTGCTAAATGGCATATTATATTATTATTTATTATTAACTCAATCAAATTTAAATCCAAACTAGACGTTGAACTGACGTCTGTACCGAGTGGGTGGGGTTTGATTCTCACCTGGTTCCCGGACTTCATGACTGTTGTGTTGTTTTGTGTTGTGTTGTACTGTGTTGTGTTGTTGTGAAACTGGAAATGCATTGGAACTGACAAGTGTTCATATTGGGTAATTTCAAGTACTGCCTCCCCAAGTTTCAATGTTTTGTGCCCCCAGTTATTACTATTTGTATCATAAACACTGATGGTGCATAGTCCACCTGTAATGAAATGATGTGGCCTTGTTGGCGGAATTTACTTTTCTTTCTCTTGATTACACAGGGTAGTTATTTTTGTTATGTGTTGTTGTGTTATGTCGTGTTGTATTGTGTTGTTGTGGTGTTATGTTGTATTGTTTTTGTGTTGTTTTGTGTTGTTGTGTTGTGTTGTGTTGTGTTGTTTTGTGTTGTTGTGTTGTGTTGTGTTGTGTTGTGTTGTGTGTTGTGTTGTTGTGTTGTGTTATGTTGTTGTATTGTGTTGTGTTGTTGTGTTATGTTGTTGTATTGTGTTGTGTTGTTTTGTTGTACTGTGTTTTGTTGTTGTGTTGTTGAATTGTGTTGTTGTGTTGTGTTGTTGTTGTGTTGTGTTTTTGTGTTGTTGTGTTGTTGTGTTGTTGTGTTGTTGTATTGTGTGATTCTCACCTGGTTCCCGGAGATCATGACTGTTCCTGGGGAGGGGCTGGGTCGATATGGAACAGTGGCCCCCTTGGGAGGTGACTAGATACAGAGGGACAAACAAAACAGCACAAGATAGCTTTTTGTTAAACATCGCAGCACAATAAAATATGGTTGTATAGCCTTAGGACAGATACTTTGCAGAAGGTTGGGACCAACAGACATGGGTTCAAATATTATTTGAAATCTTTTAAATTCTTTGAACATTTGCTTTAGTCTGCCTGGATTACCAGTTGGTGAAACAGTGTTTGAAATTATTTCAAATAGTATTTGAATCCAGGTCTGGGGACAAAAAAACAGTAGCTCTCTTTGAGGTGACTAGATAAGGACGAAACAAAACAGTACAAAGACAAAGTAGATTTATCTTTGAAACGCTTTGATTCCACAATTACATGAAAGCACATGCTTGGATAGGGTCAGTGTTTTCTCCAGCAGAGATTAAGGTGCCTGGAATAACAATGAGTTGCTAAATCCCTAGATTATTCTGTTTTGGCATTCAGGCTTATCCTTGTAAGTAGTCTCCTCGCTGCGGTAGGCTAGTTCTCAAGACAGATAAGAGGGTTTCGATTTTTGAAATTGCATGACTGATTCTATCACTTTACCTCGAAACATTGATTGACTGTATTTCTTTTCAAATGGAAATATTTGAAATGCACTACTGGAGATCTGACAGTTAATCTGACAGAGTATTGATTACAGGCTTAATCAATTAATCAGTATTAAGTTTATCTTTATTGTTTGTTCATTATGTGCATAAATCCTTTGATACTGATAATTTCATACGTTTGCTTAAATCAATAATGATACATTGATCTGTCTGGTTCCTCCGTGTCTGTGGCTGGTAATATCCGGATCCTTTGGGGAATCTAGTGATCTGTAAGCTACAAATAAACAACCCTGTGGTCTATTTTTCAATAAAAGTTCACAAGTAGTAAAGGGGTCAGGGGTCAGGGGTCAGGGCGATGAGGAAGTGTACACCACCTCGAGAATGACAGTGCAGATGAGCTTGACACACTGGATGATGGCGTCTTGGGTCCCGGATATCGTCACACCTCTCTCAGTGGAGTTGGGAAGGAGGTCTCCTGCTACCTGTACTTGTGCCCCGGTGGTCTGTTCAAGATGACAATGGGAAAAATGATGTGAAAGAGTCAGAAGAGGTCTAGCCACCCCTATCTGAGCCTGATTCCTCTGTAGGTTTCTTCCTAGGCTCCTGCCTTCTAGTTTTTTCTAGCAACTGTGCTTCTGCCTCTGCATTGCTTGCTCTTTGTGGGTTTTGGCTGGGTATCTGTAAAGCACTTTGTGAAAACTGCTAAAAAGGCTTTATAAAATACAGTTGATGATTGATCACTGGTCATTTTGTTGATATTCAGCACAAATGCATAATAAAGGCTATAATATAAATGGGACTCCAAGCAGCCTCTGGCTCTCTCTACCCACCTCATGTACTTCATTACACTGATCTGAAAGATCAGTTCCAGCAAGCTTCCACCATATTGGTTTCAGAGGCAGATGAAAGACAGGAGAGGAGGAGAGGATAGATGTTTAGAAAGGAGAGGAGGAGAGGACAGATGTTTAGAAAGGAGAGGAGGAGATGACAGATGTTTAGAAAGGAGAGGAGGGGAGAGATGTTTAGAAAGGAGAGGAGGAGAGAGATGTTTAGAAAGGGAGAGAGGGAGGGAGGATGTTTAGAAATGGTGAGGAGGAGAGGACAGCTGTTTAGAAGGGGAGGAGGCAGGAGAGGAGCGATGTTAGAAGGAGAGGAGGAGAGGTGTTTAGAAAGGCGAGGAGGGAGACGCTGTTTAGAAGGAGGAGGAGGAGAGAGAGGACAGATGTTTAGAAAGGAGAGGAGGAGAGGACAGATGAAAGACGGGAGAGGAGGAGAGGACATATGTTTAGAAAGGAGAGGAGGAGAGGACAGATGAAAGACAGGAGAGGAAGAGAGGACATATGTTTAGAAAGGAGAGGAGAGAGGGACAGATGTTTAGAAGGAGAGGAGGAGAGGGACAGATGTTTAGAAAGGGTAGGAGAGGAGAGGAAGCATGATGTTAGAAAGGAGAGAAGAAGATGAGGACAGAATGAATTTAGAAAGGAGAGAGGAGAGGACAGATGTTTAGAAAGGAGAGGAGGAGAGGACAGATGAAAGACAGGAGAGGAGGAGAGGACAGATGTTTAGAAAGGAGAGGAAGAGAGGACAGATGTTTAGAAAGGAGAGGAGGAGAGGACAGATGTTTAGAAAGGAGAGGAGGAGAGGACAGATGTTTAGAAAGGAGAGGAAGAGAGGACAGATGTTTAGAAAGGAGAGGAGGAGAGGACAGATGAAGACGGACGGGAGAGAGGACAGATGTTTAGAAAGGAGAGGAGGAGAGGACAGATGAAAGACAGGAGAGGAAGAGAGGACATATGTTTAGAAAGGAGAGGAGGAGAGGGCAGATGTTTAGAAAGGAGAGGAGGAGAGGACAGATGTTTAGAAAGGAAGGAGAGAGGACAGATGTTTAGAAGGAGAGGAGAGAGAGACAGATGTTTAAAGGAAGAGGAGAGGACAGATGTTTAGAAAGGAGAGGAGGAGAGGATAGATGAAAGACAGGAGAGGAGGAGAGGACAGATGTTTAGAAAGGAGAGGAAGAGAGGACAGATGAAAGAAAGGAGAGGAGGAGAGGACAGATGTTTAGAAAGGAGGAGGAGAGGACAGATGTTTAGAAAGGAAAGGAGGAGAGGACAGATGAAAGACAGGAGAGGAGGAGAGGACAGATGTTTAGAAAGGAGAGGAGGAGAGGACAGATGTTTAGAAAGGAGAGGAGGAGAGGACAGATGAAAGGACAGGAGAGGAGGAGAGGACAGATGTTTAGAAAGGAGAGGAGGAGGAGGACAGATGTTTAGAAAGGAGAGGAAGAGAGGACAGACTTTAGACAGGAGAGGAGGAGAGGACAGATGTTTAGAAAGGAGAGGAGGAGAGGACAGATGTTTAGAAAGGAGAGGAGGAGAGGACAGATGAAAGACAGGAGAGGAGGAGAGGACAGATGTTTAAGCAAGTGAAACAGAGCCACACTCACCTCTCTGATCTCCTTGATCTTGGAGCCGCCCTTCCCGATGAGAGAGCCGCATTGGCTGGCAGGAATGACCAATCGAAGGGTGACGGGGGGCTTGCTGGTGACCGTGCCATTGGCTACCAGAGTTGTGAGGTCCTGGAGAAAACAAACATGATTTGTTTAGATTTACATTATTAAAGTTTCAGTCATCAATAAAACAACAGTTGACCAACAGAAAACAAGCTAAAACATTCATTACTGAACACTAACTAAAAGTTGCAGTACACTATACGTTAACATCATACAGTCAAGAAGTGGTGTTGTATGCCTGCTCTCTGTAGCTACACCACTAGGGATGATTTTTTAAAAAACAAGGTGGTTAAACGCTGAACGTTGGGCAAGATGAGGAGTGACTGGTAATGTAGGTGATGCAATCACCATCCCTGTACACAAACCTCCTACACAAACATCTAATCAATATAGCCTTCTCAGAGTTTACACGTCAACGATCCAGTCAGGGACAGACAATATTTACCCTGTTGTTCAGATCTATTCACCTTTAGAAACAACATTATGTCTCTCCCTCTACTTTATGTTCCTTTAGATTTAGATTGTGACTCTCTTGGCTAAGGCCCTGTGACCTGGCCAGGAAAACTCAGGCTATAGCCTCTATGTCTGATCAGAGCCCTGTGACCTGGCCAGGAAAACTCAGGCTATAGCCTCTATGTCCGATCAGAGCCCTGTGACCTGGCCAGGAAAACTCAGGCTATAACATCTATGTCTAACCAGAGCCCTGTGACCTGGCCAGGAAAACTCAGGCTATAGCCTCTATGTCTGATCAGAGCCCTGTGACCTGGCCAGGAAAACTCAGGCTATAGCCTCTATGTCTGATCAGAGCCCTGTGACCTGGCCAGGAAAACTCAGGCTATAGCCTCTATGTCTGATCAGAGCCCTGTGACCTGGCCAGGAAAACTCAGAGGCTATAGCCTCTATGTCTAACCAGAGCCCTGTGACCTGGCCAGGAAAACTCAGGCTATAATCTGTCTGACCAGGGTCTTGAGATTTTCTTGAACCCAAGTTTCCAAGTCTCAGCATTGTCTTACATAAGATAAGCAACTTTGATCTGTACTGATTGAACCCAGCTCGTTATCCCTTATAATAGCCAGCCCTGCTCCTAGCTTCTACTAAGTAGTAGAGGACTTATAGAGGACCAAGGCTTTATGTCCATTAGCTAAAAATAGTGACTCTCACACAGACAGACCTTTTCTCTCTTCTCTTCGTACTCTTACTCTCACTCTCTCACTCACTCTCACCGTCACTCACTCTCACTCTCACACCAACTCTCACTCACACACTCACGCTCTCTCTCACTCTCTGACTCACTCTCACTCTCACGCTCACTCCTACTCACACTTACTCTCTCACTATCTCTCTCACTGTCACTCACTCTCACTCTCACACCAACTCTCACTCACACACTCACACTCTCTCTCACTCTCCGACTCACTCTCACTCTCACGCTCACTCCTACTCACACTTACTCTCACACTCACTCTCAAACTTAATCTCACACTCACACTCACTTTCACACTCTCACACTCACTTTCACACTCACACTCTCACACTCACTCAGACTCTCTCCTTAATTTAGGTAATAAATACCATCCAAAATCAAGGCCCCAACATTGCACCAATTAATTAGCCCTAGCAGGACTCTGGTAGCATTTGAAATGTAAATAGCCTGGCCATCACGTCAGCCTAGAGGCTACATGAACTGAACCACTATTATGGTTCCTTTACTTAGGCCTACTCTCCCAACGTGTAATGCAATGTTCTCTCCAAATACAATTACGAGTATAAATTATCAAGGGGTTGGGCATTTCTCTCGCAAAGGTAGTATATTAATTGGTTGTTTAGAATGAATGAGCAGCCATATCTTTTTGTAAAAGTAGATGCAAAGAGCTTTTTATGTCTTCAGAGGAAGATTCATGTTTGGGTAGCTTAGTTGGTGCTGGCTCTTCTTCGCTCTTCATCACAGTAAGGTGTTCTACATCACTATAGCGTGCTCTTCATCACAGTAACGTGTTCTACATCACTATAGTGTGCTCTTCATCACAGTAACGTGTTCTACATCACTATAGTGTGCTCTTCATCACAGTAACGTGTTCTACATCACTATAGTGTGCTCTTCATCACAGTAAGGTGTTCTACATCACTATAGCGTGCTCTTCATCACAGTAACGTGTTCTACATCACTATAGTGGGCTCTTCATCACAGTAACGTGTTCTACATCACTATAGTGTGCTCTTTATCACAGTAACGTGTTCTACATCACTATAGTGTGCTCTTTATCACAGTAACATGTTCTACATCACTATAGTGTGCTCTTCATCACAGTAACGTGTTCTAAATCACACTATAACATGCTCTTCATCACAGTAACATGTTCTACATCACTATAGCGTGCTCTTCATCACAGTAACATGTTCTACATCAATATAGTGTGCTCTTCACCACAGTAACATGTTCTACATCAATATAGTGTGCTCTTCACCTACAACCTACATCACAGTAACGTGTTCTACATCACACACCTGGGCTAGAGCAGTGCTCCAGGCCACCCCTAGGGTTACTATGACAACTCTGTCTTCACTGTGAAGGGATGAGAGGAGTTAACAGTGAGAGGAGATTCCTACAAGATGTCTACTAGTATTTGTGAGACAGAGAGAGAGAGAGAAAGAGAGAGAGACAACAACAACAACAACACAACTAGACCCAACCAAATCATGAGAAAACAAAAAGAGAATTACTTGACACATTGGAAAGAACAAACAAAAAAACAGAGCAAACTAGAATGCTATTTGGCCCTAAACAGAGAGTACACAGTGGCAGAATACTTGACCACTGTGACTGACCCAAACTTAAGGAAAGCTTTGACTATGTACAGACTCAGTGAGCATAGCCTTGCTATTGAGAAAGGCCGCCGTAGGCAGACCTGGCTCTCAAGAGAAGACAGGCTATGTGCACACTGCCCACAAAATGAAGTGGAAACTGAGCTGCACTTCCTAACCTCCTGCCAAATGTATGACCATATTAGAGACACATATTTCCCTCAGATTACAGCGATCCACAAAGAATTCGAAAACAAACCCAATTTTGATAAACTCCCTTATCTACTGGGTGAAAAACCACAGTGTGCCATCACAGCTGCAAGATTTGTGACCTGTTGCCACAAGAAAAGGGCAACCAGTGAAGAACAAACACCATTATAAATACAACCCATATTTATGTTTATTTATTTTCCCATTTGTACTTTAACTATTTGCACATTGTTACAACACTGTATATATACATAATATGACATTTGAAATGTCTTTATTCTTTTGAAACTTCTGAGTGTAATGTTTACTGTTAATATTTATTGTTTATTTCACTTTTGTTTACTATCTACTTCACTTGCTTGGCAATGTTAACACACGTTTCCCATGCCAATAAAGCCCTTAAATTGAAATTGAAATTGAATTGAGAGAGAGAGAGAGAGAGGAGAGAGAGAGAGAGAGAGAGAGAGAGAGAGAGAGAGAGAGAGAATCCCTACCAGATGTTTAATGAATACCACGCTAACAGCATGTTGCTATTTTAAAGAAATGTAGGTTACACTTAACTCAGTCAGCTCACTGATCAAGGTCTATTGAAAAGACCTAGCAGCAACATCCTCACAAATCATTCAAAGGTTTGATATGTGCTGTAACACAACAAACCTTTGAATTCATTAAACTGTTCTGTGTGTGTATGAGAGTACTGTACTGCAAACTTCTCCTCTATTCCACAGCTAGCACACCTGAATGTCAACTAACCTGAATGTCAATTAACCTGAATGTCAACTAACCTGAATGTCAACTAACCTGAATGTCAACTAACCTGAATGTCAACTAACCTGAATGTCAACCTACTTGAATGTCAACTTACCTGAATGTCAACTAACCTGAATCTCAACTAATCATCAAGCCCTTGATTAGGTGAATCAGGTGAGCTAGGGCCACAACAAAATGGTGAAATGTCTGTAGGTCCCCGAGGTGGGATTTGAAAACCACTGCTGTACTGTATTAGAAATATATATACAGGGATTACAGATGAAAATGAACTATTTAGCTGAATCTGTTGCAATGACATGTTGTACATGGTCCCTAACAAATAGACAAATACAAAATATAGAAAGAGAGGGAGAGCTTCTTGTCTGGCCTTTTCCTGTTTGATTGCTGATCATTGTGAAGGCTCTGAAGATACTGACAGAGAGACAGAGAGACAGACAGAGAGACAGACAGAGAGAGAGACAGACAGAGAGACAGAGGGACAGACATGCCTTCAATAGAGAGAGAGGAGAGAGAGAGAGAGAGAGAGAGGAGAGAGAGAGAGGAGAGAGGAGGAGAGAAGAGAGACAGACAGAGAGAGAGAGAGAGACAGAAAGAGACAGAGAGACAGACAGAGAGACAGACAGACAGAGAGACAGACAGAGAGAGAGACAGACAGAGAGCCAGAGGGACAGACAGAAAGAGATAGAGAGACAGACAGAGAGACAGACAGACCTCTTCCAGTTTGAGTGTGATCATAGTGAAGGCTCTGAAGACACAGTCTGTAGGTCCTGTTATGGTGATGATCCTCTCTGGACACGAGCCCTCTGAGATGTTGATGCGGGCGCTGCTCTGTGATGGAGAGATAGAGGGATGGAGGGATGGATGGATAGAGGGGGGGGGGGGGAGGAGGAGAAGAGAACAGAAGACAACATTCATTCTGCTGCACTGCTCTGCACGTGTGTGGATGTCCGTGTGTGGTCAAGCGTGTATGTGTGTGTGAGTTCTGAGTGAGCTGTGCAGTAGAGAGCAGGGGGTGGGGGGGACACATGCTATCCCAGCTTTATGCTCAGCTGAGAGCTGAACCACTTCTTCAAAGAGCAGCCATGTTGTGTGGTGAACATCCTCATGTCTTTCAGTGGAACAACCTACACACACACACATACACACGCACTTTAGTGGAACAACCTACACACACACACATACACACGCACTTTAGTGGAACAACCTACACACACACACATACACACGCACTTTAGTGGAACAACCTACACACACACGACACATACACACGCACTTTAGTGGAACACCTACACACACACACATACACCAACGCACTTTAGTGGAACAACCTACACACACACACATACACACGCACTTTAGTGGAACAACCTACACACACACGCACACACACGCACTTTAGTGGAACAACCTACACACACACACATACACACGCACTTTAGTGGAACAACCTACACACACACACATACACACGCACTTTAGTGGAACAACCTACACACACACACATACACACGCACTTTAGTGGAACAACCTACACGCACACACATACACACGCACTTTAGTGGAACAACCTCCCTCTTCTGTGTTTTTTCTCACAGTCTCAATAAGACCAAGAACTGAAATATGCAAACAGGAACAGGCCTTCAATACTGAAATATGCAAACAGGAACGGGCCTTCAATACTGAAATATGCAAACAGGAACAGGCCTTCAATACTGAAATATGCAAACAGGAACAGGCCTTCAATACTGAAATATGCAAACAGGAACATGCCTTCAATACTGAAATATGCAAACAGGAACAGGCCTTCAATACTGAAATATGCATGGGGAAAATGCTGTGTGTGTGAGCGTGTATCTTAATTGAATGGGAGAACAGGAAGGAGAAAGGGGGAGAATGGAGGGAGAACAGCAGGAGAAAGGGGGAGAACGGAGAAAGAACAGGAAGAGAAAGGGGGAGAGCGGAGGGAGAACAGAAAGAGAAAGGGGGAGAATGGAGAGAGAAAGGGGGAGAATGGAGGGAGAACAGAGAGAGAACAGAGAGAGAAAGGGGGAGAACGGAGGGAGAACAGAGAGAGAACAGAGAAAGAAAGGGGGAGAATGGAGGGAGAACAGAGAGAGAACAGAGAGAGAACAAAGAGAGAAAGGGGAGAACAGAGGGAGAACAGAGAGAGAACAAAGAAAAGGGGAAACAGGAGATGAGAGCAGAGAACAAGAAGATGTAAAGTAGAACGAGAGAAACAGAGAGAAACAGAGGAGATAACAGGGACGAGAGAACCAGAGAGAGACACAGAGAAAGGAAAGGGGGAGAATGGAGGGAGAACAGAGAGAGAAAAAGAGAGAACATAAGGAAAGGGAAAAAGAGGGAGAACAGAATGAGAACAGAAAAGAAGTTGGAGAACAGAGGGAGAACAAGAAAGAGCAAGACCTAGAAATAGGAGAACGTAGAGGGAAAACAGAGAGAAACATAGATATAACAAACGAGTGAACTAGAGACGAGATACCGAGAGAGCAAACAGAAGAAACAGACGACGAGAAAGGGGAGAATGGAGGGAGAACAGGAAGGCTGTAATGATCGGCGTTTTTATATCCTCCCTCCCCACAGCAACAAGCTCATCTGAGGACTCACTGAAGATGGTTAAAGATGTATGTGTGTCTGATTCAGGTGCAGGTGTGTGTCTGTGTGCATTTTTCGGCTGAGTGTGTGTGTGTCAAATGTGTTTCTGATTCACGTGTGGTGTCTGTCTGTGTGCGTGTGTTATCGGCTCTGTGTGTGTCTCTCTTGTGTGTGTGTGATTCATTGTACTGCAGGGCTCCTAGCTCCTGTCTGTTTCTCCCGGTGTGTGCGTCTGTCTGTGCGTGTGCGTGTGTTTTTTCTGTGTGTGTGTGACTGTCTGTTTGTGTGCTTGTGCGTGTGTGTCTGTGCGTGTGTGTGATCTCACTCAGGCTCTGGCCAATCTGAAAGACTCCCTGCTATGATTCTTCCTATCATGGAGACAGATTAACTTCATCACAGCTTTATTACTGTAATTATCCCCATCATGGAGACAGATTAACTTCATCACAGCTATATTACTGTAATTATCCCCATCATGGAGACAGATTAACTTCGTCACAGTTTTATTACTGTAATTATCCCCATCATGGAGACAGATTAACTTCATCACAGCTTTATTACTGTAATTATCCCCATCATGGAGACAGATTAACTTCATCACAGCTCTATTACTGTAATTTATCCCCATCATGGAGACAGATTAACTTCGTCACAGTTTTTATTACTGTAATTATCCCCATCATGGAGACAGATTAACTTCATCACAGCTTTATTACTGTAATTATCCCCATCATGGAGACAGATTAACTTCATCACAGCTTTATTACTGTAATTATCCCCATCATTGGAGACAGATTAACTTCGTCACAGTTTTATTACTGTAATTATCCCCATCATGGAGACAGATTAACTTAATCACAGCTTTATTACTGTAATTATCCCCATCATGGAGAAGTATTAACTTCATCACATCTTTTATTACTGTAATTATCCCCATCATGGAAAAGTATTAACTTCATCACAGCTTTATTACTGTAATTATCCCCATCATGGTGTAAGATTAATTTCATCACAGCTTTATTACTGTAATTATCCCCATCATGGAGACAGATTTACCTTATCACAGCTTTATTACTGTAATTATCCCCATCATGGAGAAGTATTAACTTCATCAGATCTTTATTACTGTAATTATCCCCATCATGGAGACAGATTAACTTCATCAGATCTTTATTACTGTAATTATCCCCATCATGGAGACAGATTAACTTAATCACAGCGTTATTTCTGTAATTATCCCCATCATGGAGACAGATTAACTTAATCACAGCTTTATTACTGCAATTATCCCCATCATGGAGACAGATAACTTCATCACAGCTCTTCAATTACTGTAATTTTTCCCCATCATGAGACAGATTAACTTCATCACAGCTTTATGTACTGAATTATCCCCATCATGAAGACAGATAACTTCATCACAGCTTTATTACTGTATTATCCCCCATCATGGAGACGATAAGCTTCATCACAGCTTTATTACTGTAATTATCCCCATCATGGAGACAGATTAACTTCATCACAGCTTTATTACTGTAATTATCCCCATCATGGAGAAAGATTAACTTCATCACAGCTTTATTACTGTAATTATCCCCATCATGGAGAAAGATTAACTTCATCACAGCTATATTACTGTAATATCCCTATCATGGAGTAAGATTAACTTCATCACTGCTTCATTACTGTAATTATCCCCATCATGGAGTCAGATTAACTTCATCACAGCTTTATTACTGTAATTATCCCCATCATGGAGACAGATTAACTTCATCACAGCTTTATTACTGTAATTATCCCCATCATGGAGACAGATTACCTTATCACAGCTTTATTACTGTAATTATCCCCATCATGGAGAAGTATTAACTTCATCACATCTTTATGCCTGTAATTACCCCTTCATGGAGAAAGATTAACTTAATCATAGCTTTATTATTGTAATTATCCCTATAATGGAGACATATTTACTTAATCACAGCTTTATTACTGTAATTATCCCCATCATGGAGACAGATTAATTTCATCACAGCATTATTAACTGTAATTATCCCCATCATGGAGACAGATTCACTACACACAGTTTTATTACTGTATTTTATCCCCCATCATGGAGACAGATTAACTTCATCACAGCTTTATTACTGTATTATCCCCATCATGGAGACAGATTAACTTCATCACAGCTTTATTACTGTATTTATCCCCATCATGGAGAAAGATTTACTTTATCACAGCTTTATTACAATTTGAAGTAAAATGTCTACTGTTTGCTGATGATCTGGTGCTTCTTTCCCCAACCAGGGTGGGCCTACAGCAGCACCTAGATCTTCTGCACAGATTCTGTCAGACCTGGGCCCTGATGGTAATTCTCAGTAAGACAAAAATAATGGTGTTCCAAAAAAGATCCAGTTGTCAGGACCACAAATACAAATTCCATCTAGACACCGTTGCCCTAGAGCACACAAAAAACGATACCTACCTCGGCCTAAACATCAGCACCACAGGTAACTTCCACAAAGCTGTGAACGATCTGAGAGACAAGGCAAGAAGGGCCTTCTGCACCATCAAAAGGAACATACAATTTGACATCCCAATTAGGATCTGGCAAAAAATACTTGAATGTTATAGAACCAAATGCCCTTCATGGCTGTGAGGTCTGGGGTCTGCTCACCAACCAAGAATTCACAAAATGGGACAAACATCGTAAAACACCAAATAATGCATGCAGAGCAGAATTAGGCCGAAACCCGCTAATGATCAAAATCCAGAAAAGAGACCGTTAAATTCTACAACCACCTAAAAGGAAGCGATTCCCAAACCTTTCATAATAAAGCCATCACCTACAGAGAGATGAACCTGGAGAAGAGTCCTCTAAGCAAGCTGGTCCTGGGGCTTTGTTCACAAAGACAAACCGACCCCACAGAGCCCCAGGACAGCAACACAATTAGACCAAACCAAATCATGAGAAAACAAAAAGAGAATTACTTGACACATTGGAATGAATTTACCCACTAAAACAGCAAACTGGAATGCTATTTGGCCCTGAACAGAGAGTACACAGTGGCAGAATACCTGACCACTGTGACTGACCCCAAATTAAGGAAAGCTTTGACTATGTACAGACTCAGTGAGCATAGCCTTGCTATTGAAAGAGGCCGCCGTAGGCAGACCTGGCTCTCAATAGAAAACAGGCTATCACTGCCCACAAAATGAGGTGGAAACTGAACTGCACTTCCTAACCTCCTGCCAAATGTATGACCATATTAGAGACACATATTTCCCTCAGATTACACGATCCCACAAAGAATTCCAAAACAAATCCTATTGGGTGAAATACCACAGTGTGCCATCACAGCAGCAAGATTTGTGACCTGTTGCCACAAGAAAAGGGCAACCAGTGAAGAACAAACACCATTGTAAATACAACCCATATTTATGTTTTCCCTTTTGTACTTTAACTATTTGCACATCGTTACAACACTCTATACAGACATAATATGACATTTGAAATGTCTATTCCTTTAGAACTTTTGTGAGTGTAATATTTACTGTACATTTGTTATAGTTTATTTCACTTTGGTTTACTATCTACTTCACTTGCTTTGGCAATGTAAACATATGTTTCCCATGGCAATAAAGCCCTTTGAATTATATTGAATTGAGAGAGAGCGACATCATAATGCATTCTACTTTTATTGCAATAAAGGAGTCTGAAATCTGCTGAAGAAGATGTTGGTATCAGCAGTGAAGCACTCACATGCTCTCTCTCGCTCTCTCTCACTCTCACTCTCTCTCTCTCGCTCTCTCTCTCCTCTCTCTCTCTCTGTCTTTCATGTGCACGCACACACGCACGCACACACACACACACACACACACACACACACAGCTATCTTTAACTGTTCTCTATATCCGTCAGTTTGATATCAGAGATAACCCCTTTGTGACCCCTTGTTGGCTACACACTGATGAATGACGATTTCTGTGGACGTGCGTGTGAACCACAGCTTCAAATACCTTTGCCTAATAAAAAAAAAGGTTCCTTGTGTGTAGTGCATGGTCGTGTGCTGGTGGCACATGATTTTCTTCACTGCCAAAAACCCCTTTGGCTCTTAGCCTTTTGTTACCTGTACCTTCATAGTTCTTATAAAACCCAACCTGATAGGCAGAGTCAGTTAAAAGGACTTCTGTACACTCTGTATAGCCTACTTATCAACGTTTCAGTCACCCATTACATTTTCCTCCATGTTTCAGTCACCCATTACACTTTCCTCCATGTTTCAGTCACCCATTACACTTTCTTCCATGTTTCAGTCACCCATTACACTTTCTTCCATGTTTCAGTCACCCATTACACTTTCTCCATGTTTCAGTCACCCATTACACTTTCTTCCATGTTTCAGTTTACCCTTACATTTCTTCCCATGTTCAGTCACCCATTACCTTTCCTCCATGTTTCAGTCACCCTTACACTTTCCTCCATTTTCAGTCACCCATTACACTTTCCCCTTTCAGTTCAGTCACCCATTACACTTTCCTTCATGTTTCAGTCACCATTACACTTTCCTCCATGTTTCGTCACCCATTACACTTTTTTCCCCCATGTTTTCAGTCACCCATTACACTTCTTTCCATGTTTCAGTCACCCATTACCCTTTCCTCCTCCATGTTTCAGTCACCCTACACTTTCCTCCATGTTTCAGTCACCCATTACAACACTTTCCTTCCTCCATTTTAGGTCAAACCCATGACCCTTCTTTTCCTCTCATGTTCAGTCACCCATTATACCTTTCCTTTCCTCCATGTTTCAGTCACCCTGTACACTTTCCTCCATGTTTCAGTCACACCCAGTAACTTTCCTTCCTCCAGTTTTCACAGTCACCCATTACCTTTCCTCCTCCAGTTTCATCACCCATTACACTTTCCTCCATGTTTCCGTCACCCATTACAACTTTCTTCCATGTTTCAGTCACCCTTACACTTTCCTCCATGTTTCAGTCACCCATTACATTTCTTTCCATTCTTCATTCACCCCTTACATTCTTTAATGGTTTCGTCCCCCCTACGCTTTCTTTAATGTTTCAGTCACCCACGACACTTTCCTTTAAATTTTCAGACACCCATTCTACTTTCTTCCATGTTTTTCAGTCACCCATTACACTTTCTCAATGTTTCCGTCACCCATTACACTTTTATTATTCCATGTTTCAGTCACCATGACACTTCTTCCAGTTTCATCATCCCATTGCCCTTTCTTTAATGTTTCAGTCACCCATTACACTTTTCTTTTCTTCATGTTTCCGTCACCCATTAACTTTATTTATCCATGTTTTCGTCCACCCATTACACTTTCCTTCCATGTTTCGTTATCCATTGCCTTTCTCTTTATGTTTCGTCAACCCATTACACTTTCTTTTCTCTTCCATGTTTTTAGTCACCCATTTACATTTTTTCCATGTTTCAGCAGTCCACCATTACACTTTCTTTAATGTTTCAGTCACCCATTACATTTTCTTTAATGTTTCAGTCACCCATTACACTTTCTTTAATGTTTCAGTCCATCCATGCACCTTTCTTCAATGTTTCCGCCCCCATTACACTTGTCTTCTTCCATTTTTCAGTTCATACCCATTACACTTCTTCATGTTTTCCGTCAACCATTACACTTTATTCCATTTTTAGTCACCCCATTACACTTCTTCCATGTTTCCTTCAGTCACCCTTCATTTCTTTCATGTTTCATTCACCATTCCCTTTCCTTTAAGTTCAGTCACCCATTACAATTTTCTTTATGTTTCAGTACCCTTACACTTTCTTTTAATGTTTCAGTCACCCCATTTACACTCTTCTATGTTTCAGTCACCATTACACTTTCTATACTTTTTTTCTTTTTCTTTCATTTTTCAGTCACCCATTACACTTTCTTCCATGTTTCTCAGTGTCTTTCCATTTCACTATACCTTTATAGCTTTGCAATACCGTGTCTCTTATTTTGTTTGAGTGAATGGGTTTGTGCTGTGTGTGTATCGGTTGCCCTTGAGACTAAAATATTCATTCAAATATTTATGCTTCCTCTTCCCAAGCCTTTCCTGTCAGCAAAGATGCCGAGGTACATTATATAGATAGATATAGGAGCGTAGGAAGAGATGTGTTTGGTTTCTAGATCTAGATGAAAATAAAATATTTATGTGGATCCATCACACCCTGACTGTAGAAACCAAGACGCTGAAACGTGAGGGTATATAATATGATAGGGTATTATCTAAATGTTAAAAGCTATAGATCTAAATGTAAAGTATTTATGTGTATCCATCACACCCTGACTGTAGAAACCAAGACACTGAGACGTGGAGGTATATATAGAGGTATAGATCTAAATGTTTAAGCTATAGATCTAAATGTAAAGTATTTATGTGTATCCATCATGACTATAGATACTGTATCTCTATGTCAGGTTTAACAATGTAACATAAAATATGCCATTTCGGAGAGGCTTTTATCAAAATCAACTTCCATCATTTGTTTTACTAATGGGGCGGTCCCAGGAATCAAACCCGCAATCCTGGAATTGCAAGCACCATGCTCTACCATCTGAGCTACGGAGGACCATGATAGTACAGTAAATAATCAAGAGAACTTACCTCTTCTCGTATTTTCTTCACCGTCTCTCCTTTCTGTGGAGTGGAAAGACACACAACACAAAGCTTTAGACACATTCAGCGGTTTTGTTTTAAGTGCTGTCTTTCACTCCTTCAAACTTGTCATTTTTATTCATTGAGTTTGACTTGGTTAAATTAAAAGTCCAACATATTTCAGACATACAACAGAATCCTTACTGTAAGACACATGTTCAAGGGTTTGGTTTAAAAAGTGTTTTCTGAATTCGTTAAACACTGCATTTCAATGTGTCCTTTCATTGTCCTTTTATTTGACTTGGTTATTATGGAGAAATCCTAAAATAGATATCAGATCCACAGCAATAATGCTTGTGCATGAATGTGTCCTTGGGGAGCATTCTGTTCCTGTTGAGGGACCATAGATTGGTCCGGTGTAGGCACCAAACCCCTCAAATCACCTTTAACAACACCATAAAGAGAGAGAACGAGAGAGAGGAGAGAGAGAGAGAGAGAAGAGAGAGAGAGAGAGATAGAGAGATAGCGAGAGAGAAAGAGATAGAGCGAGAGAGAGAGAGAACCACGTCACAAGCAGCTCATCACATCTATGTGAAACTCTTCTCCCCGCAGACCCACCGGACGCCACCCCCGCTCTCGAACCTCCACCCTACTCATCCCTATTTTACGTTAACCACCCAACGAACCCCCCGATCACAAGTAAACTTCAATGCTATTTGCTCTAAACAGACAGTACATGGTGCAGACTATCTGACCACTGTGACTGATAGAAAACTGAGAAAAACACTGACTAGGTACAGACTCAGTGAGCACAGTCTGGCTATAGAGACCGGTCCGTCACAGGCAAACCGGCTGCCCAGAGAGGACAGGCTGTGCTCACTCTGCCCCCGGGGAGAGGTATAGACAGAGCTGCATTTCCTATTACACTGTGACAAATACTCAGACCTAAGAGAATCTTTCTTTCCCAAAATTATCATTCAGTACAAAGGAATTTGAAACTATAAAAAGAGGAAGAAAAATCAAATATTTATTTGGTGAAAAGCCAAAATGTGCAATTTTGGCAGCCAAATATGTGTCCTCCTGCCACAACCTGAGGGAGCCAGTGAAAAGTGTAATGTAATAATATTCCTGTTTGTTTTGGCTTTCATAGCATGTAATGTGTCTTCTCAGTCATGTTGAGATTGGTAGACTACTATTGCTTAATTGTATTGCTATTCTCATTAATATTGTTGTTGAGTTGCTGTTAATGGTAATCCCATTTCCACTACTACTATTATGTATATTGCTGTTGGTCCCAACCAGTTTTGTTATATCTATACTTTGACAATGTAAGTAATTTTACTTGCCATGTCAATAAAGTCTATTGAATTGAGAGAGAGAGAGAGAGAGTTGTTCCTTTTGAGGGACCATAGATTGGTGTGGTGGAGGGGGAACCAATCATGTTAATAATCCAGTATCCTGCTGCTACAACATGGAGAGCTGGAATTCTGTAAAATATGCAATCTGTGATATTTAGGCCTACAGACATGTTGGACATAAATTAATATGATGTGTATTGTACACCCATGTTTTATGAGTTTAGTACTCCTGTCTTTATCATAACCCAAAATATAAGTCTCCATCCCACCGCTTATAGCAAACCAAGTGGTGGGGTTGTCTGTTTGTTGATTTTCGAATCAAGGATTTGGCCTTTAAATCACAGTGGAGGTAGAGGTATTAGAGCAGAGTACATATCCATCCACTCTGAACACCTGATTGCTTTTGATGGTCTGACTGCTTTGGACTGTTCAAGATGGAATAGGACTGCTCCTGACTCTTCTAGATAGAAGAGGATTGCTCATGCCTGTTCTAGATGGAATAGGACTAATCCTGACTGTTCTAGATGGAATAGGACTGCTCCTGAGTGTTCTAGATGGAATAGGACTGCTCCTGAGTGTTCTAGATGGAATAGGACTGCTCCTGACAGTTCTAGATGGAATAGGACTGCTCCTGACAGTTCTAGAAGGGATATGACTGCTCCTTACTGCTCTAGATGGAATGTGACAGCTCCTTACTGCTCTATATGGAATAGGACTGCTCCTGACTGCTCTAGATGGAATTGGACTGCTCCTCACTGCTCTAGATGGTCTGACTGCTCCTGACAGTTCTAGATAGAATAGGACTGCTTCTGATGGTTCAAGATGGTCTAACTGTTCCTGACTACTCTATATGGAATTGGACTGCTTATGACCATTCTAGATGGAATAGGACTATTCCGGACTGTTCTAGATAGAATAGGACTATTCCGGACTGTTCTAGATAGAATAGGACTGCTCCTGACTGCTCTAGATGAAATAAGACTGCTCCTGACTGTTCTAGATTGAATATGACTTCTCATGACAGTTCTAGAAGGAATATGACTGCTTCTTACTGCTC